CCGACCCCCGCTCACCGCACAGCGCGTCCAACAGGCTGACCGACTTCTCGAAGAACAGGTCGGTGCCGATGCGCTTGAAGCCGCCGTGCTCCTTCTGCTCCAGGATGAAGATGAGGTCGCCCGGCAGCACGTCGGGGGAGTCGCTGCCCGCCTCGCCGCGGAACACCACCTTGCTGCCGTGGCGGTGGCCGGGCTCGATGTGCACCTGCTCAATGCCGATGTGGGAGGCGGGGGCGCGCGGGGGAGGGCAGGGAGGAGGGGCATGAGGGGCAGGAGGCGTGGTGCTGTGCTTGTGCCGGGCAGCGGCCGGCTGAGAGCAGCGGCGGCAGCAGAGCAGGGAGTGGCAGCAGCGGCGGCGGCAGCGGCAGCAGGGCTTGGCCCTCACCTCAAACACCTTCTTCTCCGGCGCCAGCCCCTTGCCGTCGCACTGCCCGCACTTGTCGGCGGGCGGGCAGGCGTAGCCGCCGCCGCCGCAGCGCGAGCAGCGCTGCTGGATCTGCTGCACCATACCCGGGCCCAGCGCCCGCAGCTTCATCTCTACGCCGCTGCCGTGGCAGGTCTGCAGGCGTGGAGCAGGCAGCAGAGTCAGCAGGCGGGGTGAGCAGGAGCGAGTCGGCAGGAGGAACAGCAGGGCTGCGGCTGTGCACAGACTCTGCACAGGCTCTGCAGGCGTGCCCAGGCCCGCCGTTCAGCCTCGCAACAGGGCGTGTGCTGCGCGGCGGCGATGCGCGGCATCTGCGCATGCAGCATGCGCGTGGGCCCAGGCGGGCGCCGGGCCGCAGAGGTGCCAGCGGTACGCCCCGCACCTCGCACGTGTACCGCTTGCCGCTCTTGCTGCCGCTGCCGCTGCACGAGGCGCACTTGACGCTGCGGGTCATCTGCAGCTTGCGCACGCTGCCCTTGTACATCTCGTCCAGCCCCACCTTCATCCTGCGGGGTGCAAGCAGGAGGCAGGGCAGGGGGCAGGGAAGGGGTGGGTTCCGGAGCTTGTAAGGAGGCCCGGCGGAAGGCAAGCAAGGCGGGAAGGCTCTGGGAGGGGAGCCCAGCATTGCGTGAGCAGAGGCAGAACAGCGCCCGCTCAGCGTCAGCCAGACACGCCACCCAGCCCCCAAAACGCTGCCGCTGCCACCCAAATGCTGCCGCCAAGGCACCATAGACACCGCGGCAGCGGCAGCGGCGCGGCTGTGGCCGCCCTCCCACCCTCCCGCCTCGCTCACTTGTGCACGACGTCCTCGCTGCGCCGCTCCCGCGGGGCGCCGCGCCGCGAGCCGCCGCCCATGCCAAAGAGGTCGAAGATGTCTGCGGGGCCGCCGCCGCCGCCGCCGCCCATCCCCTCCTTCACCGCCTCCTCTCCAAACTGCAGCGGCGTGACAGGCAGGCAGCTCAGATCAGGCCAGAGAACGCATCACCAGGTGCGTCCCAGAGGAGAGGGAGAAACGTCCTAGTTCATATGCATCAGGGCAGGCGCGGCTGCTGACTGCGCAGCTGCTGCGCAGCACGCCCCAGGTGCCGCGCCCCGCCCCAACCACCGCCCTGGCTGCCGCTGCCAGCGCGGCACAGCGCAGACCTGGTCGTAGATTTTGCGCTTCTCCGGGTCACGCAGCACGTCAAAGGCCTCGTTGACCTCTTTGAACTTCTCCTCATCGCCGCCTGCAGCCAGCCAGCACCCGCAGTCAGGCGCCAGGCGGGTTGCGGCGAGCTGCCGGAAGGCGGGAAGGCAGGCGGCGAGGCGGTTCTGCTGCCCTCTGCTGCCCGCCACCCAGGTTCCCGCTGCTGCGCTGCTGGGCAGTCACCTTTGTCTGGGTGGTATTTGAGGGCCGCCTTCCTGCATGGCAGAGGCAGAGGGTCGAAAAGCGGGAGCGTCCAGAAGGTGAGTGGCAGTGGCGGCGCTGGGCATGGGCTGAAGCATGCGGGGGCGGCCCCCTGTTAGGCCCCAGCCACGCCACTCCTTCTGGCGGGCGGGGCGGATGGGAGGCCGCCGTGGAAGGCTCCCAGCCGCCGGCCATCCCCTCGCCGAAGCTTCATTTCTGACCTGTGGGCCTTCTTGATTTCAACATCTGTGGCCTCCTGTGCCACCCCCAGGATCTCGTAGTAGCGCTTATTGTTCACCGGGCCGCTGGCGCCCCGCGTCCTGGGGCCCCCAGGCCCTCCCATGCCTGGGATGTCCCCAAAAGGGAAGCCTCCGCCTCCAAAGAACATCCTGTGCTGCTGACACTATGATGCGTGATGGTATGTTGGGTGGCAGCAACGAGGGAAGGCAAACGCTGCTTGTGTGTACGGCATGGGTACCTTCTGGAGAGCACCTTGCATAGGAAGAGCAGCGAGTGGCCCGCCACCGCACCCCGCTATCACGCGCTGAATTGCACCACCTGCCGGAGAATTCTGCTGCCAACTCAAACTCTGTGATCGGCCGACGCATGTTGCGCATGTGCTGCTGCCCTCCCACCGCAATGGGCTCGCATCAGCGGGCCTGGAGGTCCGGCAGTTGGCGATGCTGAGGCGGGGAGCGTGTGCACAACTGCCGCCGCTTGCCAACCACCCCTTGCCGAGCCGCGGGGTGTGTCACATGCACATCGCTCAATTTTAATGTAGTCATGTCATCAATGCTGGGTCAGCACGCCCTTGGAGGAGGCGATGGTGCCGGCGCGCCGCGGATCGGCCTCGCACGCGCGGCGCAGCGCCCTGGCAAACGCCTTGAACGTCGCCTCCACAATGTGGTGCGAGTTCTTGCCCGCTAGCTGCAGGCAAGGCAGAGGGCGGGGCAGGGCCCGCTGGTGGGCTGGCCACGCAGCAGCACCATGCGGGCGGGCTGGGCTGGGCACCAGCAGCGGGCAGGCAGTGCACCAGGCGGGGGCCCAGCGAAGCACAGGCGCCAAGGCTGCATGCAGCTGGCACAGCCCCGGGCGGCCAGCAGGCGGCGCGCGACGGCGAGGGCCAGCGCCGCCGCTGCCATTGCCACGCTGGCCACGCTGTGCTTGCCTGGCGGATGTGCAGCGTCATGCCCGAGGTGTTGGCCAGGGACTGGAAGAAGTGCTCCACCAGCTGCGTCTCGTACCGCCCTATCCGCTCCGTGGGCAGGTCCAGGTCGC